TTTGAAATTTGAAATCCTAGATAGGTACAATAATGAATAATGGCTTTTAGATAAATTGAAGAATAATTTTATTGAGAATAATGACGACTATGAAATTTAAAAATGTCTTATTCAAAATCAACTTGTCTACATTTCAAGAATTTAAAAAATGTTTTAATTCTTAAAAAAGTAAACATTTTTCTTCAACTGTTTGAAGAAAATGGATCATATCCAATAAAACAGTTTTAATTTAAATCAATGGGCTAAATAAAAATTAAGTTAACTCATGAGTCAGGAATCGAAGTAAAATAATATTAAATACATTAGTATTATATAGATATTTAGGTGCTGAAATGAACTGAATTGTGCCACTTAAATACTTAATATAACACTGTATAAGGTATAATGTATTGATAATAGATAAGTAAATGTATTAACATTACCACTCAGAAAATAAAACTGGATTAAGCATTTTATATTATGTTATTCTTAGATATCTATCTTGCGTAGGTACGTAAATTGTTATACTAACATAATTAAATACGACTGAAGGCATTTACAAATTGATAAATAATCAAACTATACATATCCTCAAATTTTAACTAATGATGGTGATGAATACAAATATAATTTTTCTATGATACAAACAAGTACCTTCTTAGAGTAAATAGAGTTCTTAGAGTCTTCTGATGTCAGTTTAAAATAAATGCAAACATTTCCAGACGATAACAACCAGTTGACGAAAATTCAAACGCACTAACTACAATGACTTAAAAATATCAACCAGATTGAAATAATGAAATATTTAGATATTATTTATTTGAATTTATATTTAATTTAACTTTTAAGTTTAAAGCATTTTCGTGGTTTTAAGTGTTTTAACTGTCATATAAAAATTATGAAGTAAAAATTGACAAGCGTTATCAATTATCATAGAGATAGCACACGTGCACACGATTTATAGACCTAACCTTGGAGCTTGTATAGATTAGTATATCAAAGATAGGTACTATCACTGAGTAGCACTATGACAATACTACATACTATACCTAGGTATACACGTTACATTGGTAAACATCAAATAATTTTAAGGTTATAAAATATAATATAATTTATCATTGATAAAATTATATGATAGTTATAATATCAAACCTTAGATTATATCTGAGTATCAAACGGTATACTGTAGTACTTTGAACTGACTACTGTATACTGTAATAAATTGATAATTCGATACCCGGATTATTAAGGTCGTACAACGGAAGCACTTTTAGTATTATTCACTGTTGACATTTTATAAATTAACACCAATATTCAGATGTCGATAGCTCCTTCAATTATTATCACATAAATGTAAATGAACCGTCAAAATTCATTAAAAATTAAACTGTGCACGAATCATATTTCAAAAATATAGGTTCCCATTTGAATTTTAATAGTTGACCCTCAAACCTCCCCATCCTAATTAATAAAAAAAATATTTAATATCAAATTAATTTAGATTATATGATTCAAAACAGTTTTCACATGAGTCATTTTCCCCTAATTTAAATATATCATGCTGAAATCTGCTGTCACTTGAAATTTGGAACATCCTGTATATATTATTCTAATTCATTAATTAATTATACATTTCAAAATTACATGTACTAGATTTATTACATATTTTCTTCCTGTACAACACAGTATGTGTGTAATCAAATCATTACTGTACGAAGAACAACTTCACCAAAGAGTGTAAATGTCCACGGCATTTTTTTGTGATGTATTAAAAACACCTCCAAATAATTTTTTCTGTTGTTTCACGTTCTTTTTGAAATAAGAAAGATTTATATTTTTTAATATTATTCCTTCTTTTTGGCTGGTAATATACTCCATAATGCAAGCTGTGTGCCGTGTTATATTGTCAAACGGATAGTGTCGTATACTGTCTGTACGAAGCAAACCAATTAATGTTATCTAGTAACTAATCTTGCAAATAATAAAATATATTGCGATAATAATGACGCGCGAGATTATTGATGTGCTATGAAATGAACCGCGACGTTACTTCCGCGACATTGTTTTTTTTTTTTTTTTTTTTTTTTTTTTTTTTTTTATTAATCAGAAAAATAATATTTAAGAAGATTACATATTAAATAAAACCTTAAATTGATTTATCTTTCTCCTGTAAGCTTACGCGTATTACCGCGACGTTACTTCCGCGATATTATTACCGCGACAATATTGTCGCGATAATTTGACGGTACACCTTTCGATACCATCTACTTTCTCTAGATGATTTCTAACTCTTTCTTTGTTGTAATTCGGCTTTTTATACTCGTTTTTCTTCCCAAAAATGAACTTTCTCTTCTAACTTCATACATTTTTTTTTTGAATAACCTGACTTCAGAATGACTAAGATGCTCTGATTTTGGGCATTTGCATAGTTCTTGTCGTATAAGTTTCTTTGGCTTTACGTTAAAAGCGCTTGCTTCGCTCTTTAAAAGAGACATCACTGTTTAGTGATGGTTTCTTCAACTAATTCATCATGACTATTTTCACCATTTATTGAAATTACTGTTTTTAAATTGGCAGTTAACTTAACAGTGAGAGTGTGATTACGATTCATGCAACGAAAACTTTAGTTGTTTCTTTGTTTTCTCTAAACTCACTAAATTTACAACTATTAATCGCAACACACTTTTATAAACATCAAAAATGTTCACGTCCATAATTACAAAGATTAAAATAATCTAGCCGATTGAAAATAAAAAAAGGAACTGAACATTAAAACATTGAAACATATGTCCTTGTAACTGGAGTTAACCGAACTTAATTCACAATAAAAGCATATAAAACTAAAAACCTTCCCTGTCTGGACCGTTTGGAGATCCTCGAAGATGCACTCACCGTCAGTGGTCTTGGGATTTCGGCCCAAGTGACCTCGTAGTTCGTCTCGTAGGCCGTCCCAGTTAGAGCAGTTTAAGATGATGTGGTCCGCTTTGTCAGAGCCACTCTGGCAGTGCATGCAGCAGTATCTAAGGGCGCATTCCATGCGGCACAGCTAACAATGAAAGCACCCGTGTCCGGTTACCACTTGCGTCAGGTGGTATTATCAATGGATCTTAGGGGCGTCCTATTCTTCTATCTTGCGATAATCAGAATTAGATGACTGGTCCATGACGCCTTGGTGGATTCTGTCTATTTCCTTTTCCATTCGGCGATGGTGACCATCCTCTCCTCTTTCTTGATCTTGCATATCGAAAGTGGAGGGTTACCCGATTTCCACAGAAAAAACGTTTATGACATTATTATTTTTTCACATTGTTTTTACTTTCTTAACACGTTGATGGACAGTTTTGTGGCCGCAGTGGAAAAACAAACGATCTTTAAAACGTCAATTTTAGTACTGCTGTAGGGTTTTATGCTATAGGGCAGTGTAAAATTGTCCACTGAGATGTCGGGGGACACAATAATCTATCCCCTCATAAGACACCATTGAAAATATCACTGCTATTTAAGTGATGACAATTTTTGGAAGGTTTTTATGATACTGCTATAGCAGTAATATTTAAGTGGTTTGTGCGAATATAACGCAAAAAGAACAACTGTTTAGCACATTTTTAGTGTCGCACTATTTAAATTTATATATTTGTTATAATGGTCAAACTTTATTTTTTTTTTAGAATACTCGATGATTGAGAAGGTCGCAGGTAGTTCGCCGAAAGTCACGGGTTCCCATGGACTCGAACTGTATGCATGCTGGCGGCTGCCAATAGACAGCTCGAGTGCCTTAAGTACGCACACGACCGGGGCTGTCCATGGGACGAGTCGGTATGTGAGTACGCCACGGCCAACAGCAACCTGGAGTGCCTTAGGTACGCCCGAGAAAAGGGTTGTCCATGGGACTTGTACGCGTGTGAAAAAACGGCCAGAAGTAGGCAACTTGTGTGTCTGGCGTACCATAAAGACAACGGCTGCCTTTGGGACATGTCCACGTGTGACGAGGCAGCGTCAAACGGGCACGGCCAATGTCTGGAATACGCGCTGGAAAACGGTTGTGAGTAGGACGGACGCATTCCATAGTAATATTATCTCAATGTATTATCATGATAACCAAAAATTCATTGTCTATCCTGGTTGAGATCGACATTTTGTATTTTTTCATTTTCCTTCAGGTGAAATCGGGTTATACAACTAAAGTTTGAGTTCATCCGAAGTTAAAAGCCTCAAAAAATGACTAGACGGTTTTCAATAAAAGTGTACAGTGTAACCTTAGTGTAAATTTTAGTGTATTGCAGTTGTTCATGATTTAAACATTTTATATAGCATACGATAAGTAAAAGTTGAAATTAGATAACAAAAATTTGGATAGACCCTGGTACGCCTGTATACTACTTGCTTTGGAGTTCTCATTTTTTTTTTATGAATAATACCTAGGTACCTTTAATAATTAGTTTTAACGAACATTCTTGTATCATTTTTTGATTTAATTTTCTGATGTCGTCATATAATTTGATATTATTTTTTTTTTTAATTTTTAATTATCTTCTTTCAGTTATTTAACTATTTTATTTTTTGTAACCGAGAGCAACCTTATAAAAAACGAAATACAATATTAATATGTTATATTTTGGCCGAACTTGTTGTATTTTTGGCATTCTGATTTACCTACTTTAGATTTAATTAAAATTTTTTTTTCATACAAACTTTGTCTACAGCCACAAAAAAAAGAAAAAAATAATTAGCCAAAAAGAGTGAAGTGATGCGTGGACAAACATTTGGGGCTTTTGATTTTATTTATTGATTTATATTATTCAAGTATAAGATAAAAGAATGACAGTCCAAAAAAAAAACCTTTTAGTAGGTAAATAGGTACACAAGTACTTTTTACAAATAAAGTTAAATATATTAAAATGTCAAACAGTATATTGTTTTTAATGTTCAAAATACAACACTATCTACTAGAAAATATACTGAAGTTTAAAGTATTTTTTCAACTACTTTTTGTGTATTTATTATACTTGTATATTATTAAAATGATAATTGTTTCGCAGATCAAGAAAATGTTTTCTCTACGTAAGTTACCCTACTATTTTTGCGATGAAGAAGAAAGAACATTTTATGACGATTTAGAGACCATAGAAATCGACATTCAACATTGTTGTATTGATTTGTTGAGATTTTTAAAAATTGAGACAAAATCAAATATTAAGAATGACAATATTGATTTAAACTATGACGGTAAGTCTAAAGATAGCGTAGATAAATGATATGGTCTGTGCGAATATAACGCAAAAAGAACGACTGTTTAGCACATTTTTAGTGTCGCACTATTTACCCTTTTTTACATAAATCAACCAAAGATCCTTATTAATTGATGTTTAAATCAAAAGTTAAGTACCACCCGGGTCAATCACTTTCATATCTCTTTATCCGAGCCTGCAGTATACATACGAAAACGATCGATCGTATTCGGGCAAATAATAATAATGCTCGTGAATGAGGGTAGGGATTTTGAGCTCTGAAAGTATTTATTCAAATAGTAGTGCCAGGTCGTTTGGAAGATTTCTCCAAATATGTTGTTTAATATATTTGTTATAATGGTCAAACTTTATTTTTTTTTTAGAATACTCGATGATTGAGAAGGTCACAGGTAGTTCGCCGAAAGTCACGGGTTCCCATGGACGTGAACCGTGGGCATGCTGGCGGCTGCCAATAGACAGCTCGAGTGCCTTAAGTACGCACACGACCGGGGCTGTCCATGGGACGAGTCGGTATGTGAGTACGCCACGGCCAACAGCGACCTGGAGTGCCTTAGGTACGCCCGAGAAAAGGGTTGTCCATGGGACTTGTACGCGTGTGAAAAAACGGCCAGAAGTAGGCAACTTGTGTGTCTGGCGTACCATAAAGACAACGGCTGCCTTTGGGACATGTCCACGTGTGACGAGGCAGCGTCAAACGGGCACGGCCAATGTCTGGAATACGCGCTGGAAAACGGTTGTGAGTAGGACGGACGCATTCCATAGTAATATTATCTCAATGTATTATCATGATAACCAAAAATTCATTGTCTATCCTGGTTGAGATCGACATTTTGTATTTTTTCATTTTCCTTCAGGTGAAATCGGGTTATACAACTAAAGTTGGAGTTCATCCGAAGTTAAAAGCCTCAAAAAATGACTAGACGGTTTTCAATAAAAGTGTACAGTGTAACCTTTGTGTAAATTTTAGTATATTGCAGTTGTTCATGATTTAGACATTTTTTATAGCATACGATAAGTAATAGTTGAAATTAGATAACAAATGTTTGGATAGACCCTGGTACGCCTGAATACTACTTGCTTTGGAGTTCTCATTTTTTTTTTATGAATAATACCTAGGTACCTTTAATAATTCGTTTTAACGAACATTCTTGTATCATTTTTTGATTTAATTTTCTGATGTCGTCATATAATTTGATATTATTTTTTTTTTTAATTTTTAATTATCTTCTTTCAGTTATTTAACTATTTTATTTTTTGTAACCGAGAGCAACCTTATAACAAACGAAATACAATATTAACATATTATATTTTGGCCGAACCTGTTGTATTTTTGGCATTCTGATTTACCTACTTTAGATTTAATTAAAATTTTTTTTTCATACAAACTTTGTCTACAGCCACAAAAAAAAGAAAAAAATAATTAGCCAAAAAGAGTGAAGTGATGCGTGGACAAACATTTGGGGCTTTTGATTTTATTTATTGATTTATATTATTCAAGTATAAGATAAAAGAATGACAGTCCAAAAAAAAAACCTTTTAGTAGGTAAATAGGTACACAAGTACTTTTTACAAATAAAGTTAAATATATTAAAATGTCAAACAGTATATTGTTTTTAATGTTCAAAATACAACACTATCTACTAGAAAATATACTGAAGTTTAAAGTATTTTTTCAACTACTTTTTGTGTATTTATTATACTTGTATATTATTAAAATGATAATTGTTTCGCAGATCAAGAAAATGTTTTCTCTACGTAAGTTACCCTACTATTTTTGCGATGAAGAAGAAAGAACATTTTATGACGATTTAGAGACCATAGAAATCGACATTCAACATTGTTGTATTGATTTGTTGAGATTTTTAAAAATTGAGACAAAATCAAATATTATGAATGACAATATTGATTTAAACTATGACGGTAAGTCTAAAGATAGCGTAGATAAATGATATGGTCTGTGCGAATATAACGCAAAAAGAACGACTGTTTAGCACATTTTTAGTGTCGCACTATTTACCCTTTTTTACATAAATCAACCACTGATCCTTATTAATTGATGTTTAAATCAAAAGTTAAATACCACGCGGGTCAATCACCTTCAGTATACATACGATATCGATAGATAGTTATTTAACTATTTTATTTTTTGTAACCAAGAGCAACCTTATAACAAACGAAATACAATTAACATATTATTTTTTGGCCGAACCTGTTGTATTTTTTTCATTCTGATTTACCTACTTTAGATTTAATTAAAAGGTTTTTTTCATACAAATTTTTTCTACGGCCACAAAAAAAAAAATTAATTAGATAAATAAGGTGATGCGTTTACAACCATTTGTTGCCTTTGAATTTTATTCAAGTATAAGATAAAAGAATGACAATCCAAAAAAAAACCTTTTCTATGTAAATTGGTCCACAAGTACTTTTTAGATGTATTTAAAAAACTATTATTAAAAAATTTATTACACCTTAATTTTGTTA